ACATGAGAAAAGCGTTGAATTGGGCGGCCTGCTTGAGCATCTGGGCTACCTGTTCCTGACATCTAAATATTTCAACAAGTTATCTCTTTTTGTTTGTTTTAATATATCATTATGTATATTAATCGCATAACCCATCCTTGTGCATTTCTGAAAAGTTTACAACCTTTCGTTGTCAAAGTTACTAAAAGCTCAATAAGAGATAATGTGGTCGCTGGCAATATGCAGAGAAAAGAATATACATTATTCAGATGTTTATTTACTGGACTGCTAACATCTAACTGGCTATCACTCAATATTTATCGTCAGGATCGACCCAGAAGAAAGAAACGGAAACTTGTTGAAATACTTTGTGCTGAGAATTCTGTATTGTACCGAAAATATAAGATTGAATAAAGCTTATAATAATAAAAATAATAATAATAATAAATAAATGATTTAGAAAAATGAAGTTAGTTAATTGATTATTAAGTGTTAAACCATTATATCAACTGATTAGTGAAATTATCTTGAACTGGAAAATTTAAATACCTAAAAAGACAATAAAAAGCTTGTTTCTATCGATCTTGGATTTTAGTAATATAGATGTCATGAAGAACTCAATGCATTTAAGAATATAACTTCAAATGTTTAATAAATTACTCAGAATTAGATCATTATTCATCTGAATTCATCTTCAGTTGAAATTGTGAATTCAAGTGTACTTATTATGGTATTTATATTGAAAAGAAGCACTGGAAAAAAAAACATTTCTAAAATAACTAATTAAAAAGCAATATAGTTTTGATGAAGATTTTCAGGGTTTATTGTAATAAGGCATTTTAACTTGACTAATGTGTACAAAAGTAAAACATGTGAAATCTTTTATTGACATCTTATAAACAAACTGTAATCAAGTAATTAACTTTTTATCAAGTTTAATTATTCATTGACTACATATAGTATCGGTGTGAGTTTGTGGAGATTGCGAAGTTTTTGATTAAGACCATGAATCAATTAATGATAGACCACCATTGAAAACCTGGAAGTACAGTACAACCGCTTCATCCTAGTATGAAACTTATCAGCAGTGTGCATTCACGATTCTGTACAGGGAATTCGAATCCAGAACCTTCAGTCTCGCTTGTGAACGCTTAAAATCTAGGCCACTGAGCTGGCCGTCATCCAACGGTGTTAACATCTAACTTTAACTAATCCACGAAATTTCGCGACCACCTTTCATTGTTTGAGGTAGATACCAATATCTACCTGACACGGATTATCTTCAATGGTCATGGCGTTTCACTAGAACTCTGAAGATTACCTCATGAAGCCAGTCACTAATGAACACATATATGTTAGCTTAACTTTATTCCTCATATTGAATATTGATTTTATTTTAATTTAGTTATATTGTTAAGCATTATGACACTTTTCGTTATCTACTTTATAAGAATTGATATCCAATGTATACATGTTATATATATCATATTGAATATCTTCATATATCTTTCTCTGTTTTAGACTTTTTTTTAAAAAATCAACTTTAAACATGCATTTCAACTTCATAAAATAACCGATAATCTCAGATAACTGTTTCCAATCATTCTGGTTATGAGAAGTTTTAAGAAAGAATAAATTAATATGCATTCTTATTATGATTGTGGTGTTTAGAATTGAAATAAAAGTTTATTATTAAAATATGTAATAAACATCTTTACTATTGTGATCAAATAATCATTCTCTTATTTAAAGTTATTTTAGCTGAATTGTTTATTTTATTGATCGAATTAACAAGAAAAAAAATAGAAGTCTTCTATCTGACGTTTGTGCTGATAATGTCGTTCAGAAGAACGATGAAAGCTCCACGACCAAACCATCCAGCTCAGAGAACAAAACTCCATCAATATCTTGAAAATATTTTTTTCTTTTGCAGAGGAAATTAGGAAAAGACACTGAAAGTGGATAGGGCACATTCCGGAAAGTATCAGACTGCATTACGACACAAGTTCTAACTTGGAACTCTGAGGGGAAAAGGGGTAGATCGAAAAGCACATTGCACTGTGATTAGGACGCAATGACTAAACGAATGACTAACAACTGGGAACAACTGGAAAGGATCATTCAGTACGGAGTTGGTTGGAGAATACAGGTGGGCGTCCTGTGCTTCTCCAGGAGGAGTAATACAATATCATACTTGTCATGCATATAATTCTATTCGAACAGTTATTAAGTGAAGCACCCAATTTTACGAAAACTTCTATCCATATACTTATTTGAATTTTAATAATTAATGTGCATCAGAAAGGAGGTCATTTTATTGTTCTATATACTGTGTTCAGAATTCAACAATCCATTTAAGCATTCATTATTGAACTTTAGTGATCATGACTGTTAACATATGATAATATCTTTGTTTCATGTAATTATAAGACAACTATAATCTATCATCATTTTTGTGCTCTTTATCAGTTGTAGATAAATTGTCATCATCTTCACACGGCAATTACAAGAAATTTTAGTTGAAAAATTGTTATACTATTAGTATGTACTTGACTGAGAGTCACTTGGTAGTAGATGTTCCAGCTATCATATGATAATGCCGATCATAGTAAATGTATTGGCAACTATTCTTAATAAATGACAAACAAGAGCCATTTGTCAAGTAAATATAAGTGTCAAGTATAAAAACAGTCCCCACAATTTCTCATTCTATTTCACGTCTTTGTGTGCGTTTCACAAATATCAGCCTTGTCAAATCCTATAGTATTTAGGAGCAATAGTAATTGGAATAATGGTTTTATGAATTTGGATATAACTATATAGTGAAGTAGTTGAGGAATATCAATAGGTGAAGATAGTGAAAACTAACTGGGCATGAAGCATACCCGATAATTTTTGGATATGATGAATATTCCCTAAATAAATGAGTTGCTATTGACAAACATGTTAATAAGGCATCTTATATTGGTTGTTTAAATCTTCTCATTAACGTTTAGTGTTGCAATTCTTCAGTCTCTTATTTACATATATGCATCCCGTGTGAATTAACTCAATATTACCTTAAATCACAAGCATTATAAGCAAAGATGGATGGTGGCTATCAGTGGAATCCTCGACGCGCGTTTCGTCCTAGCTGGGACTCGTTAGCTGTCTTCTAGAATTAAACTAATATTCTCAAAGTATTCTTATTATTACAATTGATCATTGTTAATTTATCGCTTATCACTGGTATTCTAATTTAACACTTTACCAGATTTAATGGATTATTTAGTTAAATCAGTTGATCCTGTTATGTGACACTTGAATTAGTAGGTGGATCTTGCATTGACATGTGTATTCACACATCAAAATATTTTTTGGCAATCATTAGTTGACCAGTTTCAAAAAAGCTAAAATTATATATATAATTGATGAATTGTAATTATAATTCGTTTTAACTCCTAGGTATTCTATGTAGTTGAGCCATGCTAAGCTGGTAGATCGATATGGAAACCTGAAATTTAGTGACTGAAAATGGTTTATACAACAACTTAGCCTCTATCGTTATTATCACAAGCAAATTACATAACAGTTCAGTATGTAATCTAAACCATAGAATCTGCTTAACGTAACGTAAATAATATCGCTTTAAAGAAACGGCAGATAAGGCTTAGTGTTTAGTTTTTTAATTCGTAAATACAAATTACTTATACTGACCATCCCATCTCGTCTTGAAAGAACAGAATTCGTTAATAGAAATAATCACAAACTTTACAGCATTATATGTATATTTATGATTCGTACTAAAATACTACTGTGTTCGCACACAGATTTTTATACATACAAACATGGAGAAAGATGTTTGCACTGTTCAACTACTATATACCACACACTTTATATATATATATATATATATATATATATATATATATATAGTATTATTTAGTGTGCTGTTTCAATGATACGCTGTGTATAGCAGTAAAATAGCATTTTACATTTCTGTTTTAAAAGTATTTGCTTTTGCAAAATAAATATCTCTCTTGATTACACTGATTTAATCTCAGTAATAAAATAAAATTGATTAGGAAAAGCAATTTTATTGATGTTAATCTCCTTATTGACGCATTTATTTATGATCAAGTGCGTTTGCATTTGTATATTAGCGCCAATAACAACATCAATCAGTACACATACACATACATATAATGTTAACGAAAAATTTTAAAAAAGTCTATACACACATATCCACATAGATTACACCCAACATAATTTATCTATCATCACTAGTCGATGATTGTAAATGTATTTATGAATTGGCTTATAAAATATAGCACAAAAAGATCAATAACAATATAAATCACAGTAGACTGAAGATAAAAATATTTATGAAACACAGGTATACAGATATAAGATACGGGAAAGAAATCCGAAACTAATTTAGGAAAGGTATTAGAAAATATAATTAACAATCATCATTGAAGAAATTCATTCCGAGTATACACATAGAGAAGAAAAGAGAAGTTGAAAACATTCGAATTCTATAAACGTTTAAAAAGGGAAAAAACAACGAAAAAGATAAACGAAATGTATCTCAGAGAAAAATATATTAAACTTGTGGAAATATGGTAGTACAGTTGGCTACAACATACAGATAGTAAACAAAAACTGTTTGCATATAGTCAGAGAAAAAGAAAAGACATTTGTGAAAGTTTCTAAACAGCTTCGTAGAAAACAAATGTAAACTGAAAAGTTTGAAACTTAATTAAGACATATATATTGAGTGTTCGAATGGAACATTGAATAGTACATTCACAATACCTTTAGTTAGAGTGAATACATATCCGGAAAGATAATACAATAAAAAGTATATTACGACTACTAATGATAATAATAATGATAATAAGCATTACTATTATTTTTATCATTATGAAACAAATTTATGTATACACATTTCTTATAATTATATTTTAAAAAGAGAAAATACTTTAGAACTTTATTATAGAAAAGAATATTATCACTATATGAATAATAAATATACATGATTAACCATTAGCAATAGCAACTGGTTGACCATTGATTGTTTTCATTTTTAATATACCATTTTCTTCTATTTCAATTGTTTCTATACCATCTTGTACTATTTTACGTGTTGTGACACATTTTCCATTTTCAATTTTAGTTGAAGTTGATCGAAATGTTTCTTTTCTCATTGGTGGATGACCAGGACGACTAGAACTACCAAAATTAAAACTATATGATGTTTTTGTAGATAAACTACGTACTGGTACATTTTGTGGTAAACTTGTTTTACGTATACGTTCAACATGATGAAATCGTGGTTGATGTTCATTAGTTGATTTATAACTAGTTGTATGATGTAAATGACGACTAGGTAATACATTGAAATGATGATCATTATTAAATATATCATGTAAATGACTATGTGATCGAAATAGACCAGCTGTATCCATAAATGCATTCATCATATCTACATGTTTACTGAAAAATTCACGGAACACTTCTTCAGGATCTCGAAATGTAAAACCGAAATCATTGAATGGAAAGAAATCACTCGTATCAAATATATCATCTGTGAAAAATGTTCCTGATGCTGTATGTCGACGTCGTCCACTAGGTGGTCTTGTTGATTTAGAAGTTTTTACATGTGTACGATTTAAGCCATCTTTACCATGTGAATCATAGACAGAACGTTTTTGTGGATCTGATAAAACTTCATAAGCTGCACTAATTTCTTTAAATTTTTTTTCTGCTTCTTCTAAATTTGTTGGATTTTTATCTGGATGCCATTTAAGTGCTAAACGACGATATGCACGGCGTACTTCTTCATCTGTAGCTGTTTTAGTTAAACCTAACACTTTATAATAACAAATTGAACTCATAATTATAAGAATTAGTTAAAAAATTAAATGTCTATCTGTTATCTTTATCAATTGAAGTTATTTTCCTATGAATGTGCTCTTGATAATTTCAATTAGATTTTCTAAAATTAAAATAAAAAATATACATTATATAAATTTTACGGTGACAATTGTGAATGATCACTTTTAAAGTAATTAAGGTTATTCATGAATGTATATGATTCAGTCAGTCAGTCAGCTACAACGTAGGACCAGGCACATATATGCATCAGTCCAAGTTGCCATATCTCATTAGAATGTATATGATTCTGAACACAAAAACATGTTTATACCATAAACGAAATTTATTTAATACAATTAATGTAATAAGAAGACGAAGATTATTAGAACTATGTGATATATATTAACGCAATACATCTTGAACAATCTGATCACACATATAGACCTGCTAAGAACATTTATATATAAAAATAAAAAATATCAACTAGACTAGAAATAAAGGGTAAGAAGAGACTGAAAACTATTATGGAACTGGATAACTTCTCACAAATTATCCACCTCCATAAACAACGAAACTTCTTTATTCACTACTTATTGATGATTTTTTTTATTGCATTTTAATAACTGCATAACAAAATATCTGCACAGATTAAAGGAATACAAAAATGAAATATTTGTAGATTCTTTTCGGTATTCCATTTGCTTATTTCAAAATAGTCAGTACTGTATTATTACTGATCGATTAATTAGATTACATATATTACCTCTTAGGAATACATGATATACCTGTTATAAAATCAAATAAATGATCTCATGTGATCTTAGAGACAGTCAAATTTTAGAAATATATTGAACATATCAAATTGATTATACTAAGAATAGGATTTAAAACATTATTCTCTATGTGTATGTTTGGCATGCACATGGAAACATTCATCGAATTCAGCGGAATAACGAATAGATTAAAAGATGGTATAATAATGAGACCATTATTTTTTTTTTACTAATTTTTAAGCAATATGAAGAAATTAAGAAAAAACATCTGAAAATGTTAGAATACCAAGTAAACAAACAATAATCAATAAATAAATGTCTAACACATGGTGTATAGATACTTTTAATCAAATTAACTGAGTAGCAAACAGATATGGAAATCAACAATTAAGTCAACAATTTATTAATATTTTTTACATAATTGAAATTATTGAGTGATAGTTTTTTCTTATAGTTTAGATTATGAACCAATCTTAGTCAGATAATCATTGGGAACCAAGGAACATTGGTGTTTCGTCCTAGTATGAAACTCCTCACTAATGCACAACCATTTACCCACCTTGGAATGAAATACAGGACCTATAGAGCTCACCGTGCAAGCCTAATCTGTAGACCATTGAACCAACTTTCAGTGATATATATGTAAAATTTCAATCAATTTCAATGTTTTCTGCTTTCTAGTGGTTGTCAAAGTAATATGAGTCCGTGATATAAGCTATGAGAATTCAACAAGTTCAACACAAACTCCTAAGTTAATACTATTTTATTAATCGAATTTGAACTTTATTTCGTCGCATAAAATCTTTCATTTTTAATGCTGTTAACGAATTTCTAACTTCTCATTAGTATTGTCGTTTAGGCAACTTATGTTAATATATATAAGTAGTATGTAACTCCAATCGTATGTGGAATGCCTGTCAGCAGAGCAGTATAGAGAAGATTGAATTGAAGAAAACAGAAAGGGCATCAGAGAGCAATTAGGATGACAACCAAATCTGAAGAATGAAGAATTCTGTACAGGACAAATGAAAGATGTATAAATAAAGTATTTTAGAAAGCACTGTGTAATTTTGCACGAGATAATAAATTGGTTTTCCCCACATGAGTGTCAGTGTTTTGCCTTAAAGTTCGTTAGTAGTACGTCACTTACAAGCGAAGGGTATTTAATCTGCTTTCTATTTGCACAGTAAGATTTTATTCCTTTTTTTAGTTGATGATTTGCTATGGATCAGGTTTAAAGAAGATGATAAGAGATCGTTTATAAATTGATTATTGACGGAAGTCGGTGTTTTTAGAAATGGTTACAACTAACTATTAAGGTGTAGAAGGTTGACGAAATGAACATTCAAAAACGAACCTATATAGTATCCAAATGACTTTTTTTCTCAATCAATTTTAATAACTATTGAACGCACTGAATATAAATCTATGTATTTAATTTATCTGTCAAACAATGACTGTTCATAAGTATATATATATATATATATATATATATATATATATATATATATATATATATATATGCAGAAGCATATCGATCTGATCAAATTCAACGTTCTAACCATTATGCTTTGGTTTTCGTTTCATACAATAGATGAAGAAATAGAAATTCACTGTCTATACTTAGGTATTATGTTTGAAAATGGATTTGCATAATTCTGTTCTATCAAATCTCAGTTAACTATCGATATTGATCATTTATATTGTCTGTGCGTAGAGTAACATATCTATAAAATGATACTTTATGAAAATTGAAATATTAGCTTACCAGAAAGGTGATTACTAATTGATCAAGATTATGCTGTTGTTAAATTCACTTGGTGTTGTTTACTTGTATCTTACTATTGTTAACTAGTACTGAAATTGATCAGTCTCATATGCCGAAAAGAAACTGATCAATTGCAGTCCTGAATAACGATGGGAAGATACAAGTAACAAGAAGTGAATTTCTAAAAACCTCACCCGATTACACAAGCAGGTGGCTATCGGGACTCAGTAGCTAAGCAAATGACGTGATGATGTTTGAAGCGAATGGTACTGAGTTTGAGTGAACATCAACTCTAGGATGCAGGTGCACCGAGCTGAAGAGTCCCGAATAGGACGAAACGCGCGTTCTGGATTCCATTACTAGCCACTATCTATCTTTGCTTATAAAGATTATAATGTGTTAAGTGAATACGAGTATTGTGATACAAATCAAAGCGATAAAATCTGGATGTTTTTTTAAAAGAATTCATTTGTCAGAGAAAATGATGTTTATTATAGTTTTGAAAATAAAAAAACGAATGTCAATTAAAACATAATGACAAAATATAATCAGTATGATATCTTTAACAAAACATGATTATATATATATATATTCACTGGGTATTGTTTACTTGTATCTTCCTATTGTTAAGAATTACAATTGATCAGTCTCTTGTTGGCATAGGTGCATCCCTTACGGAGCACCTCGATATTTTATATATCAAAGTCAAGGTCATATGCTTTAAAGTATCCTTAACCTAAATTTAAACAGTTCACCTACAATTAAGGATATCATTTATTTTTCATCTTTAATCATTTAATTCAACGACATTAATGTAATACATTATGCTGATTTATAGATACAAGTTGAAAAAATGATTACGTTCTAGAATAAATTAATTGAAATCAGAAAAGAGGATAATTATATTACAACTTAGTGATTTGACAGTATAGTTCTCATTGTGATAAAAAACGATTCTGATATACATTGATGCATGTAAACATAAGTCTTGACTTTTAGGAAGTCTCAAACTAACATGAAATGATTATCAACTGTATACTGACCTTTTATTGATTATTCAGTGGTTGTCAATTTATAATGCAACATACCTTTAAGACTTATTAAAGAACTGTCCACAAGATAAACCTCCTCACTTAAAAATCTTATTAAATTTAGTAATTACAATTTAAAGCATGATTATGATTTAGACTGAAAGAATTAATAAGGTAAGTAGCAAAGTACAAATTATTTTTCCGAACATAATTGTACGATCATTTGATGCATCCATACACATACAACTCAAATCTATATATGCATTATCATGAGGTATAAATTAGTTAATCAATTCACACTGGCTAATAATATGTGATGGTTAGAAATCAATAATAACTTGTATTGACAAAAGTAAGTACATTTTGAACAATTGGTGTATAACAATCAACGTAAGTATATATATATATATATATATATATATATATATATAAACACATACATATACTTGTTGACATAAAACGCCATCATCAGTTGTATAGTCATTCAACTTGATAACTAAATATTATAAACAATTATTGAATTATTATCAGAAAGGGGTTTTGTGGAGATTTTAGAAATTTCAATGGTTGAAATCATGAGTCAATTGAAGCTCGACTACCATGGAAAACCTGGAAGCACTGGACGGCCGCTTCGTCCTCGTATGGGACTCTTCAACTATTAAATTACTATAATATCTACAAAACTCCTCTCTGATTATAATCATCATACGCTCACTAGTGACGGTCTCTAAGTGGTATTTCCTGGAGTTCTAGTGAGAAGTCGTGACTAGTGGAGTTCAACCGTGTCTCTTGTGAGGCAGTAACTCACTGAAGACAATAGTGGACGGTGGCGTAATTTCGTGGATTGATTGAAGTGAGACATTCACACCGTTGGATTCCAGTCTAGAGATTATGCATTCACGCGCAAGGCCGAAGGTCTTGGGCTCTGAACCCGCGAGCGGGATTGTGGACGCGTACTACCGAGGAGTCTCATGCTAAAACGGAGCGGTTGTCCAGAGCTCCCAGATTTTCCGTGGTGGTCTAGCTTTAATTGACTGATGAATTTAACTATTAAAATGTTGAATTGATTTGGAAGAATGTTTCTTTGCTCAATATACGTGTTTTCCAAATGATTACTTAGGAATTTAGGAGCAGGAAAGCAACCATCTATTTTATGTTGGTTTTGGAATTATGTTTTCAACAATACTCATTTTCTAACAGTAAACAATGTTTATGGATTGAATGACTTGAATTAAAAATTTGATCACAGAACAATTAGCCCAATAAAACATATAATAAGATATGAAAATATTGAAATGGAATGTTGTTTACTTAACAAATGACATTTTGTTATGAGTAATTTTTAAAGTTTTCTCATAAATTAATTAGATGAATTGAAGATTAAACAAATGCCGGTATCATATGATGAATAGCAAATTTGTTTATTAACTAAAATCATAAAGTGTGTG